TAATGTTTGTTGTTATGTGGTTTGTAAATTTTTGTGTTCTCCACAGAGTATGTTATGGATGTAAAATGCTTAGTTTTTGCTTTGATTGAAAGTCGATGTGGTTGGTTCTTCGTCGCATTGGTGTTGTAACAAGCTTTGGTTCGAATGCACCAAAGTTAAAACTGGCAAATCGCAAACTAAGCCAAATCTTCAAATTATGAGGCATTTGACTTTGAACCGGTTCATGTAGTTAGTGGGGTTTAAATACATAAATGGGACTATTTTTTATAGTTATTGGATTTTTTGGGTTTAGAATAATATCACATTCTTACATAAATGCTTAATGCTGTAGATTTTCAAAACCAGATTTTTAATTTTTGAACAACTTCTCAGACAAAACACTATTCTTATATTTTTAAAACATTATAGCTTCAAACCAAAAACAGAGAAGTTTTCAATAATTCTTCAGGGACTTTCACACAAAGAATTGGGGGATAAAAATTATGGATTTTTGTAAAATATTGTTAAAAGGACTTTCAGACCAAAAACCGATGATTATAAGAAAAACTATGTTTTTTTTTGGATTAGTAGACTTTTAAATATTTTAAATAGCCCAAAAATTTTGTGGATTTATTGATATTTTAGAAGGATTTCAAGAGCAAAAGTGAGAATTTTTTGACAATTGTGAAAGAACATTTGGACCAATAATCGACGGATTGAAAGGACTTCAAGACAAAAATCGTCAGTTTTCCCAAATATTCGTCGATTTTTAAATATTATTTGAAACTTTCAGACGAAAATAAAAGTATTTTTTAAATATTTTTGAAAGATTTTTAGAGCAAAAATCATGGATTTTTCAAAATGTTTTTCTAAAGGATTACTTTTGTAGGATCCTCTAATTCAAAAATCATGGGTTCTTTAAATATATTTTATACCCTACACCACATTTACGTATTATTACACATTACGTATTATGTCTTTGTGCATTTGTTTGTAACAGGCAAAAGGAAACGAGATGGAGCCATAGTTTCTTTTGATGATCTGCATAGAATCACATTCTGATCCGATTGATGCATGTCCGTCCGTCCATGTATTTCGGAAACAAAGTACAAGTCGCATCTATTGCCCAATCGAGATTAAATTTTGCAAAAATTATTTATTTAAATTGGAGATAATCGGTCAAAATTTAGATATAGCTTCCATATATTTATCTTGTCCGTAATATTGTAATTGTAATCCGTAATATCCAAATAGGATTAATATTAATCCAAATAGGATGGAATTTGGCATATACGACCAATTTCATCGTAGAAATATGTGGAAATCGGTTCAGATATAACTGTAGCTCTCATGTATATTTTTAGTTCGATTTGTTATTTTTGCCCTCCAGAGCCGTAATATGAACTCCGTAATAATGATATTTGGGGAAATATATCAAATACAAATCAGAAATACCTTTGTCAAATTTGATCGAAATCGGCTCAGATTTGGATATAGGTCCCATGAATAAATGTACCCGATTCCAAGTTTATTGAGCATCAAATGGTTAATATAAGTCGAATCGAATGGATTTTGGCACATACGAACGAATTCAGACTGGATGAGAGTGTATTAAGTTTAGTAAAAATCGGTTAAGGTATAAGTATAGGTCCCATATAAATATTTCGTCCGATTTTGTATGTAAGTCCCTCACACCCGTAAAATGCTTATCACAACAACGATATTTGGCGCCAGCTACCAGACACAGCAAATAAATTCCTCTGCTAAATTTTACAGAGATTGGTTCAGATTTGGATATAGCTCCCATATATATATCTACAATCAATTTCACGTTTATTGGGCCTAAAAAGTGTAATATCAGTTAATATAGGATTCATTTTGATAAATCCCTGTTGGTGCCCAATACAAAATTTTAAGATGTCAGCTTTATCGGTTCACCGTAAAAAAACTGTCCCAAATTTATTACCATTTAGTACATTTCGTACACTTGATACACATTTCCAAAACCATCGACATATATTAAACTTACTTTCCAACCTTGATTCTTTTACCAAATTTTTAGCTCTGTCTGTTCACATAGTACCAATTGGTACCATTTTAGATCTTTTCGTAACCCTAAAGTTCGAATTTCCAAAAACCCTCCGGTACATTTACCCAGCATTGCATCAGTGATTCTCATTCCAAATTTCAATTTAATTCCATTATTCGCCTTCCACCAGTGATTCTCATTCCGAATTTCAATTCAATTCAAATATTCGATTTTTTGTACTTTTCGTAACCTTTAAGTACGCATTTCCAGCAATCCAGCCTTATTGAATGCCCACGCACTTAGACTGATGCTCGTGCAAAAAATTCAAGATTCTAGCTTCAGTCATTTCGTCTGGGCGTTGATTCTCGGAAGACCAGTCAGCGATTTATAATTTCAAAGGACTATCATGAGGAGGGTGAAAGGTTTAGAAATTTTATCCTCCTCCTATGATATTTTGTTTGCTCCCAAATGAGTCGCAATTTTTTGTTCCCCAAATAATCGTTGTTTTCTTCCCAATTATATTCGATTAGTTTTTGTTTTTACAAATAATTAATTGCCATGTTTTCAATTTAATCTATTTACCGGGTATTATCTGTCGGCTGGGTAGTAGTCCACCCATTCGCAATTCGATTTTCAGCAATTGGTTTACATTTGGGCTCATCCGCCTCTAACCAGACCAATTTTCGCAATAAATTCACTTGTGGTTTTGTGAACTCATAACTATTTGTCCCACAACAGCGTCTCAATGACAATTAATTAATTGAAGATCGTTGACTTACATAAACACACATGCACACACTGTGTGTGTGTGAAGATCTTATTTAGCCATAATATTCTTGATCTCTTTATAAGTAAGGAAATAATATTGAACTTGAAATTTTGTATTTGTTTTTTTTTGTGATGCTATTAATTAATAAGCATTTAAGCTGAAAACATTCATTGGCAGTCTACGGATATCACACACACACATGCATGTGTATGTGTATGTTTGATATGAGACATTTTTGTTTATGGCCAGATGTTAATTAATTAATGATGCCACCAATTAATAGGAACATTATAACAAAAAAATACTTTTAAGAAGTATTGTTTTTATATAAAACAATTTTGTTTATGGTTTTATGGCGTAGAAACAAAATAAAATAATTAAAACATTAACTTTCTAAATTTGAAAAATATTGGGGCAAGGTCATTAACAAAAATAATTTCTCTGGGTGTGAAAATATACAGAGTTTTATTAGTACATTTTTAAGGATTTTCAGAAAGACAATTATGGAGTTTCGTGGGAGTATTATTAAGAAAATCTGGAGGGAATGTAACACAATTTTAAGGGAATTTTTGTACGAGGATATCGTAAATTAAAAGAGGAAATGGTTCAGTTTTTGTGAAAATTTTCTGAAAAACTTTCTATACTAATTTTATTATACATTAAAGATCAAACGGTGAAAAAAAATATTTTCTGAAGGAATAATTTTTTTTTAATGAATTAAAAATTATATAAGTGGGCTTTAATTTATTCTTCTCTATGCAGGGTGAGATAAAAAACGGCAACAAAGTCAAACGCCATAATTTCTATTTTTTTAAATTTGATTGAATGAAAGCAAAAAATGTTGTACATAGCATCAAATTTTACACGCTGCCCAAATGTTGCTCTGCAGTATTTTGGCCAATTTCCGGCATATGCATGAGGTTATCCAACCTTTGGTATTTTTTAGTGCCAACCTCGCTTTCCAAAATACTCCAGACACAATAGCCCAACGGATTGGTATCCGGAGATTTTGGTGGCCATTGTGCGCTGGAAATGAAGCGAGGAACCTCATTTTGTAACCATTATGGGGTGGCGCGTGCTGAGTGCGATGGTGCTGAGCCCTGTTGGAATGTCCAAGGCCTGCGGCCAAAATGTTTGCGTGCCCGAGGCTTTAATACACCCTCCAGAATATTTTCGCGATAATATTCGGCATTTACTCTGATGCCACGGTCGATTAATACGAGCGGAGAGCGACCATTGGTTGTTATGGCGGCCCACACCATCACCATGGCCTGCGAGTGAGGTGCACATTTTCAGCTGATCTCTTTGGCAAGTATACACGATCATTTTGTTTGTTTACAAACTGCTTGACAACGAATGTTTTCTCATCGGAGAAAACCAAATTCGGCAGTTCACCACTTTCAGCCAAGCAAAGCTACTCTTTAGCTCTTTTGAGTCTATTTTCTTTCTGTTGCGGTGTAAGTTCTTGCACTTTTTGTCTTTACTCCGAGCTCATTTTTCAATATTTGCCGAACCGAATATTGCGATACGTTCAGCTCACGAGCCATTTTTCGGCCACTGCGACGCGGGTTTCGATCAAGTCGCTTTTGGAAAATTCTCACCAAAATGCTTTTGTACGCTTGTAAACAATATAATGAGCTGTGACCGGAATAATTTTAACAGCTGTCAGACGAGTGGCGAGTAATGACAGCAATCTGAAGTTGGTTACAATTTTTTATCTCACCCTGTATACCCTCTCTATCCATATGGCTGAGGGCATAAAAATTTGGGATTGGGTACTAGGATAGAGCTGGAATTCTGGAATTTGTTATGGAGGCCACTGTTGGTAGTGTTGAGAGATGGAGACGGATTTTGAAATTCGTACTATGATTGTTTGAAAAAAAAAAACTAAATGATACTAAATTTGGCGTTGAAATAATGGATAGAGCTTGAATCCTGAAATTTGATGAAAAATTGTATGTGTAACTTCGAATGGAAGGATTCCGAAGACTTTTTGGTGGAATAGTAATTATTAAAAAAAAAAGAAAAACTTGTATATTAATAAAGCGTTATCGAACTAGAGCAGCTGAAAAGTTAGTAAATTGTATCAAGTTTTATCTGAAAATTGAAAAATTGAATTTTGAGAACTTAAGTGAGCTGTTGGAATGAATCAAAAATAATATAATATAATTGGTCTCCATAATAATTATTATTAATTAAATACTTATTTTTGTTTATTTACAGCTTATTGAACTCACTTTGGCAACGGAAACGTGAACTAATTATTGATAGCGAAAAGCTTTAACGGAAATGTAAATAACTCGCCCCCTTGTTTACCGAACTAACAACAGACAAAACCAAAACAAGAAGAAGAAGAAGTCACAAAAGACACCACAAGACCCTAAAATCAAACCAAAGAACTCAAAAGGGATTAAAAGACCCAAATTTCCACAAAATATATTTTTAAAAAAACCACAAAATCAAAATCCAAAAATCCCAACAAAATGCCTGCTCCAATGGTTGCAATTCTAAAACTTTTGTTTTTGTGTGCATTGGCACACACTGCCGGTTGCTTGGCCTTACCGGCCAAGGGTATTGTTGAATCCTTTGAAACCACCACCGATCCACCGGCCAAGAGGGCCGAATACATTATTGTGCGTGGTGAAGATTCTTCGCTGGAAAATCCTCAATTCAAAATGGCCGCATCTGTGCTACTGAAAAATCTACAAGATGTTGCCAGTGTTGCTGTACCACCCTTGGATGAAGAACCCATGGAGGAATGCAGCAATCCCTCACATAAAGCCACATTTTCGCCATATGATTACACCGTCCTCCTGGCCATGTTGGTCATCTCCTTGGGTATTGGTATTTTCTATGGTTTCTTTAAGAAATCGGGTAGTTCATCGAATGAATTCTTGCTCGGCTCAGAAATGTCCATCTTCCCCGTAACATTGAGTTTGACAACGAGTTTTATCACAGCCATTGAGCTGTTGGGCAATCCATCGGAAATGTACTTCCAGGGTACACAATTTGTGTTGATTGGTAAATAAAATCAATATTTGTTAAATTAATTCATTGACATTTTATTTAAATATTTTTATTTCCAGTTATTCCCATGGTCTTTGTTGTGCCCGTGGCTGTCAAGGTCTTTTATCCGATTTATTTCAAAATGGAACTGACCAGTTGTTATGAATATTTGGGTATACGTTTTGGCAAGGAAATTCGTGTCTTGGGCGCCGTGTTGTATGTACTGCAGGTAAATGATTGGAGAGGGAATTCTATCTATCAATTTGATGGAATTTAAAGTTTATTTTTATTAGTGGCCCATTAAACAAAATTGGTGCACAATTAAGCTGAAATAAGTTGAGAATATGTATGGGAGCTATTTCAAAATCTGAACCGATCTTGATTAAATATGTGCCCAATTTTAATTTTAATTTATTTCCTGTTTTCAGATGTGCTTTTATACAGCCGTTGCAGTTTTAGCCCCTGCTATTGCTCTCTCGAAGGCAACGGGATTGGATACAAAAATAGCCGTTGTTCTCATTTATGTTGTGTGTGTTTTCTACTCCTCCCAGGGTGGTATGAAGGCTGTTGTTATTGCTGATACTTTCCAGGTAATATACAAGAAAACTTGAACTAATGGACTTAGTTTGCTATTAATTTTGCTTTTTAAATATTTATAGGCGGCTGTATTAGCTGTTTCGTTGGTGTTAGTTGTTGCCCTGGGCAGCTTTTATAGCGGGACTCCAGTGGAGATTTTCAAGACGGCAGCTGAGCGAGATCGTTTGGAATTTTTCAAGTAAGTATTGATTCAGAATGACTTGAAATTGCAGGTATTAATAAAATAAATCAAAGGTAGCTTCAATTTTTTTTTTTTTGAAAGCTTCCTCAAAATTTTTTAAATATAAAAATTCCTAATTGAATAGAAGGTTTTGTAAACGCTTCCTATAAATAAAAACAAAAATATAAAAAAATCTTTATAGAAGATAGATCTATATAGAATCCTTTTCAAATTTTATAGAAAGAAAATTTTAAGAAAGACTTCGCGACTACAAACGTGGTTTTTTTAAAGAATACTTTTTCAAGGTATTTGCAGAAGTGAATTTTTTTAACAATATTTTTTTAAGGTCTTTGCAAACCTGGATTTTTTAAAGAATATTTTTTCAAGGTCTTTACGAACCTGGATTTTTGAAAGAACATTTTTTCGAAAAACTTGGAATTTTTAAACAATATTTTTTCGAGAAACGTGGATTTTTTTAAAAGAATATTCTTTTGAAACTGGGATTTTTTAAAGAATATTTTATCGAGAAACGGGCATTTTTTAAAGAATATTTCTTTGAGAAACGTGGATTTTTTTTAAAGAATTTTTTTCGAGAAACGGGGATTTTTTAAAGAATATTTTTTTGAGAAACGGCGATTTTTTTAAAGAATTTTTTTTTTTGAGAAACGCGGATTTTTTAAAGAATATTTTTTGGGGAAACGTGGTTTTTTTAAAAAATATTTTTTCGAGAAACGGGGATTTTTTAAAGAATATTTTTTCGAGAAACGGAGATTTTTTAAAGAATATTTCATAGAGAAACGTGGATTTTTTTAAAGAATTTTTTTCGAGAAACGGGGATTTTGTAAAGAATATTTTTTTGGCGAAACGTGGTTTTTTTAAAGAATATTTTTTCGAGAAACGGGGATTTTTTAAAGAATATTTCTTCGAGAAACGTGGATTTTTTTAAGAATTTTTTTCGAGAAACGGGGATTTTTTAAAGAATATAAGAATATATATGAATTTTAAAGAATATATTTTCGAGAAACGGTTTTTTTTTAAATAATATTTTTTCGAGAAACGGGGATTTTTTAAAGAATATTTTTTCGAGAAACGTGGATTTTTTAAAGAATATTTTTTCGAGAAGCGTGGATTTTTTAAAGAATATTTTTCGAGAAACGGGGATTTTTTAAAGAATATTTTTTTGGGGAAACGTGGTTGTTTTAAAGAATATTTTTACGAGAAACGGGGATTTTTTAAAGAATATTTCTTCGAGAAACGTGGATTTTTTTAACGATTTTTTTTTTCGAGAAACGGGGATTTTTTTATAGAATATAAGAATCGATATAAGAATAGACCCCAACTTAGCGGCTATATTCGGTATTTTTAAAATTTTAACAGAATTTTTTGAGGATTTTATTTTTTAAAAATTTTCAAATTCCTCCCAAATAGTGGAGGGTATGCAAAATTCGGCCCGGCCGAACTTGCAGCTTTTTAGTTTGATCTTTTAAAGTTTGATCTTTGTAACTCTCGCAGAAAAAATCTTGAATTTGTTAGAATATTTTTATAAAAGACTTTGTGCTATAATTTTCCACGATTTTTCGAAAAAATTCAGTATATTTATTTTTGAAAATATTGAAATATGAAGGCTTCTTCAGTACTTCGGTTCGAATGACTGTTGACGTTACTCATACGCCCTATATTAATTTTTAATAACGAAAATAAATACAATTTTTTATTTCAGTTTCAATATGGACCCTACAACCCGTCACACCGTTTGGTCCGTGGTCATTGGTGGCTTCTTCTATTGGACATCGTTGTTCTGCACCAATCAGGCTTCGGTGCAGAAGTGTATGTCGTTGAAATCCTTGAAATTGGCACGAATTGCCTTGGGATTTGCCATTTTGGGATTGGTCGTTGTATTCCTGCTGAACTTCTATACCGGTCTGATGGTCTTCAATCATTATGCCGAGTGTGATCCTTTGACTGCTGGACGCATTACTGCCTCAGATCAATTGTTGCCATATTATATTATTAGCACCTATGAACATGTTTATACCATGGCTGGAATATTTGTCGCTGGTATTTTTGCAGCAAGTTTGGGGTGAGTTTTGAATTGAAATGATTTTGATTAGATTTGAAAATATTTATAATTATTTGTTTTTTCCCTTTGTAGAACTGTGGCCTCTGCCTTGAATTCCCTGTCGGCTGTCACCTGCGAAGATTTGCTGGTGAATGGCATGAATATTAAAATCTCTCCCGACAAGGGTGCCCTGTATGCCAAATGGATGTCCTTGGGCTTTGGTGTTTTATCCTTTGGCCTGGTATTCATTGTGGAACGTTTGGGTGGTGTGCTGCAGGCCACCTTGACTTTGAATGGTCTTATTGGCGGCGTCACTTTGGGTCTGTTTGTGTTGGGCATAGCCTTTAAGAGTGCCAATACCAAGGGTGCCTTCTATGGTGGCATCGCTTCATTGGTTATTGTCATTTTCATTGGAGTCGTGGCTCAAATTGCCAATGTCGAACCTGAAGATTTGCCTTTGTCTGTGGAGAATTGTGATTGTTTGGTGAATGCAACTCAAAGCCTGGCTTCGTCGGTTACAGTGCGTCGCGAGGCAGTGGAAGTTGTGGAGACGGGATTTACGTAAGTTAATTATATTTTTTCAATTTAAATTAAATAATTATTAATTTTTCCTCAATTTGTTGTAGGGATTGGCCCATTTTCAAACTCAGCTACATGTGGTATTCCATGATTGGCTGTTTATTGACCCTGGCCCTGGGTCTGCTCATCTCATCTATTGTGAACTGTGTACAAAAACGTCGTGTGCTGAAGATCAACTCGGCCAAGAACTCGAATAACATGAAACTGAACTCCGAAACCAATTTACCAAAGGAGATTAGACCAATGCCAACATTGGCCAATAAACAACCGAGCCCAGAATTGGAAAAAGGTATTACTGGCGAAGCTGGTGGCCATGTAAATCATGCCATACGTCTGGATGACGAATAAATGTTTAGAATAATTCTTTTATATATGTATCCATGTATTAGAACCACCCACCCACCTACCTTTATAATTATATCCCATGAATGTGTGTGCACCATGTATTTATTGTATGTACAAATTACCTCTTAGTTTATAGGTTCGAATTGGCTTCTGGAATCGAATTTACTACAAGCGAAAAATGGAATCACTGAATCAGTTTCCGCCACACCCCGCCGATCCCTGCTGCTTAGACAATGAGGTTGCAAGCAGACCTCGAACAAAGTGATACACCCCACACTAATTTAGTCATAAGTCTTTACGTATTTTATTTAATTTTTTTATTGCTCAAACAACAAAAAAAAAAAAAAAAAACGAAAATAACCATATACTCGTCCTATTCGTACTTTTGTAGTAACTACTTAGATATATACTTGTATGTATGTATTTGCACCAGTATTTATATGTATGTATGATGACACAAGCTATTAGACTTGTCACCTAGTTTTTAAAACATAAACATATTCACGGAAATCTTGTTTTTAGGATTCCAATTAGAAAATTTAACAAATAGTTATACATATAATAACAACGATAATTATGAAAAATGACAAAAAAAATTAATAATAAAAAGACAAAAAAGCCAAGAAAACTTATCGAAAATGCATGCAAATCTAAATAAATATATTATGCAAAAATAAATATGTAAATGTGTATTTTTTATTTTTTTAAACGAGGTTGTAGATCTACCCTTATACATGTACCGAAACACAAAAATTCCGAATATGTTTTTTTTTTTTTTTTTTTTGCAAAGAACTTGGACGTCTACATTTATTTATCTACCAGAGAAGATGGTAATAGGAACTGAAAACACCAAATTTTAAATAATTCCGGCGAAAAAGTGGCGACTGTTTTAACACTTGGACATACTGGGAAGGCAACTGCCAATTTACAGCAAATTCGGGCGAAAATTGAGAATACACCAACAAAAAGTCCTGGAATCTATCGGTACAGTAATATAGAGGCTATAACTATTGCGAACTCAAAACAGGCTATACGAAAACGTTGACCTCTATAGCGAGTTGTCTGCAAGAGAAGGTAAAACCTAATACGAACTCTAAATACCAAGTTTGGAATAATTATATTGAAACAAATTGCTAACATTAAAAAAATTAGGAAAAGCAGGTGTTTCAGTAAGAAACCCTGTAACCAATTCCAAATACCAAGTTCGAGATAATTCTGTTGAAAAAATATACGGAATATAAATGTACCGAATATAGGCTATACGAGGACATTAATATGAAATTTCCTGTCATAGGAATTAGTACCCACTGCGAACTCCAAATTCCATAATTCCAGTGAAAAATGGAGCTAAAATCATCAAAATACCGAATATTGGAGATGGCACCGTTATATAGGGCTATACGAAGATGTGGAACTGTATGGCCAATTTTCTGCCATATGCAAGCGGCAGACGCACATCGCTAAATCGACATAGAATTTCATGCTGATCAATGATATATAGTAAAAATGTATATTTGGAGGTGTTGCAGACGGAATGATAAACTTAATATACCTTCCATACTATGGTGTAGCGTATAAAAAATTGTAGCGTAGTTATAGATATGTGGAAATCAAGTTCCCCAAATGTCGTATTTTCTTCCAGGATAAATTCGGTTGACTGCGTTGACTGTGACTTACAAATAAAAGTTAAGTAGAAAAACATGTAGAAAAACATTAAGTTCGGCCGGGCCAAACTTTTAATACCCTCCATCTTAGGGTAAAGGAAACATTAGAAGAAATGTGGCAAAAACCATTAAAATGCCGAATATCGGGAGGTACCGTTATATGGGGACTATACCAAAACGTCAACCTATAATTACAATGTTTCGCCACACGAACTAGGATCCATTATGAGCCACAAATTCCAATTTTTAGCCAAATCAGTGAAAAAATGTGACAAAAACCATCAAAATACCGAATATCGGGAGGTACCGTTATATGGGGGCTATACCAAATCGTGGACCCATACATGCAATGTTTCGCCACACGCACAGGGACCCGTTATGACCTACAAATACCAATTTTCAGACAAATCGGTGAAAAAATGTGGCATAAATCATCAAAATACCGAATATCGGGAGGTACCGTTATATGGGGACTATACCAGACCGATATATTCAATACCAACCATCCTAGACACCATACAAATTGCTCTGCTAAATTTTGGCGCTCTACGTCAAATAATGTGGGCTGTATCGTGATTTCAACAGACAGACAGACGGAGAGACAGACAGACACTTAGAATTTTATGCTGATTATGAATATATATACTTTATGGGGTCTACGACGAATATTTAAGGTTGTTACAAACAGAATGACAAACTTAATATTCCCTCCCTACAATGGTGTAGGGTATAAACATTTGTATCGGTGTTATAGATATATGGGAATCGAGTTTCACCAAATGTCGTATTTGCTTCCAGGATAAATTCGGTTGACTGTGACTTACAAATAAAAGTTAAGTAGAAAAACAAGTAGAAAACATTTAATAACCTCCACCTTCGGGTGAAGACAATGTTTTTATATAAAAGTATTTAAACGTGTTCCACTTTAAACTACAAATTCCAGTAAGACAGTTTGGATAACTTTTAAAGAAACCATAAAGTGGGTGAGACCGTTGTAAGGGGGCCATACCAAATCGGGAACCTCCATAGACAATTTTATACATCAAGAACTGTCGTCTACAAATCTTCTTAAATACCGAGTATCACTGGGTATCGTTACCCATTTAAACTACAACTACCCATTTGAACTACAAATGCCAATTTTGAAACAAATCCATGGAAAAATGTGGCGAAAATCATCAAAATACTGAATATCCGGAGGTACCATTATGTGGCGGCCAAATTTTGAAGCTCTACGTCAAATAATGTGGGCTGTATCGTGATTTTAACAGACAGACGGAAAGACGGACAAATCGACTTAGAATTTTATGCTTATACTTTATGGGGTCTACGTCGAATATTTATGGATTTACTGTTACAAACGGAATGACAAAGTTAAAATACCAACCTTTTCAAGGTGGAGGGTCTAATAAAAAAACAGGTGTCGAACTTTTCAAAATGGTTTACCATAATTAAAAGTCCATAAAATCTTAAATATCGCGGGTAATTATAAAAGTTTATGTTTAACAAATAAATGCTCTTCAATATTGAATATATTTATGCTTAAATATAATTATTAATTAAATATATAAATAAAAAATAACATAATTTAATTAAATATATAAATAATTCCTATGTTTGTCTGTGGACATCTGATGGAAAAAATGTTGAACTAACTATAATCCCATAATGTTATTGTGTTCATTATTTTATTTAACTCCTATAAAAGAAAGTGACCACACTGAGGTGAGTTAAAACACTAAGCAAAGAACCGAACCACAGAAATTGTACATTACATTAACTACTCATGTTTCCAATAGATGTCACTGGTGACAACAAAATATAATATTTGAATTCCAGTACCTTTAAGAATCTTCTTTATACTCTACACCACATAGTACCCTCTTTATACCCTACACCATATAGAAGAAAGCGATATAGACCCATAGGTTTTGAGGATCTTCATAGAATCACTTTCTGAGTCGATCTATGCATGTCAGTTCGTCTGTCCACGTATTCTTGTGAACGCAGGTCGCATTTATTATCCGCTTGAGATGAAATTTTCCAAACAATATTTGTTTGGCTCAAGGATGAATCCCATTGAAATTGGTGATAATCAGATTTAGATATAGCTACTATATATATATATATATATATATATATATATATATATATATATATATATATATATATATATATATATATATATATATATATATATATTTATATATATATATATATATATATATATATATATATATATATATATATATATATATATATATATATATATATATATATTCATATTTTAATTTCTAGTTTTTTATTTTTGGAAAATAGCGCTAATCCCCTTGTAATAACATAATCAAGTTAAAAAGTATCAGTCGGCTTGCAAACAGATGTTTACCCTCAGCCAATATTCGATTATTTAAATATAGTTTGACTTCTGTTATGATTATTCAAATTGTTGACCCTCTTTGGTATAGGCTCCCAAGGAATGGCCCAATATTGTCCATTTCGTATCGGACCTAAATAAATGTGTATAAATATTTCGACGTGTCAGGTTTGGACTATATTGGTTAGTTCCTTCACGTTGTATGAGATATGTGATCATTTTTAGAAAATGTTAAAATGTGCGTGCGTAAGAAGATATTTTCGTTCACCAGAGTCGTCCGAAGCATTCCATTTTCATACTTCATATAATACAGATAAAAATATTGGTATGGGCAAAATTATAAGAACATCGAACATTTATATCTAGTTTTATGCACAATACAGGGTGAGATAAAAAATCTGCTACAAATTTAAACTCCATAGTTTTTACTTTTTTTAAATTTTTTTGAATGAAATTTTAGAATAATTGGAATTGGTCTCCTTTGGCACGAATTATAGCCTTCAATGAAACCTTCAAAAACGGCCAATGAAACCGTCACGCTGTCCGAATATTGCTCTGCGGTATTTTGGCCCATTCCCGACGAAGCGTTTGCTTGAGGTGATCGACACTTTGGAATTTTTTAGTGTCAACCTTGCTTTCCAAGCAAGCAAAGTAACTCTTAAGCTCTTTGAGTCCATTTTCTTTCTGTTGCGGTATAACTTCTCGCACTTTTTGGAATTTCAATGGTTTTACCCCGAGCTCATATATATTGCGATATGTTCAGTTTACTAGCCATTTTTCGGCCACTGCGACGTGGGTTTCGATCAAGTCGCTTTTTTACTCTTCGAACCATTTCTGCTGATTCTGCCGTTTTCTTCCGTCCACTTTCTACCAGTATCACGGTAACGAGCGATGGTACGAGACTCAAAAGATTTATTCACATTTAAATGGTGGAGTGCTCTAACGATAGCCACTTGTGGTTTTCCAGCCAAATATAAGGAAATTACACTATTACGCTTGAACTCCATCACGAATAACTTTTTTTCTGGAAAATTCTCACCAAAATGCTTTTGTACGCTTGTAAACATTATAATGAGCTGTCACTGGAATAATTTTAACAGCTGTCGGTGTGTCGGAGGAACTTAGAAATGACCGCAGTCTGAAGTTGGTTGCAGTTTTTTCATCACACCCTGTAGATGACAAATTCGCACTACATTCGGTACTTACTCCGCATCAAATGAGATATTTGTATATTTTTTTGAGAATTTTGAACTTTTGTGCAGTGGACAGATATATTCTATTTCTTCGCTTGATTTAGCACTAGCAAAAATATTCGATTGTGCGATGTTATTTAATTTCAAAATTCTTAAATTTTTTTGAGGGAGGAAGAAGAGAGTGTGGGCCGATAGTGTCTTTTTCGCACCGGACCTAAAATTGATAAGTTTTTTATGAGATTTTATATTTGTTTTTATAGCCTCCACCATACTATGGAGGGTATATTAATTTTATCATTCCGTTTGTAACTCCTCGAAATATTCATATCAGACCCAACAAAGTATATATATTCTTGATCAGCGTAAAATTCTAAGACGATTTAGCCATGTCCGTCTGTCCGTCTGTCTGTCTGTCTGTTGTAATCACGCTATCTTTCGAACAAGTTGAGATAGAAGGCTAAAATTTTGCACGCATGTATTTTTTCCCAGTAGGCAGGTTAAGTTCGTAAATGGGCCATGTAGGTCCAAGTTATCATATAGCCCCCATATAACGGTACCTCCCGATATTCGGTATTTTGATGATTTTAGCGACATTATTCACCGGAATTATTTCAAAATTGGCATTTGAAGTTTGCAATGGATGCTACAGCCTAAGACAGAAAATTATCTGTGCAGGTCCTCGTCTTCCTGTAGCCCCCATATAACGGTACCCCCCGATATTCGGTTTTTTGATGATTTTAGCGACATTGTTTACCGGAATTGTTTCAAATTTGGTATTTGAAGTTCGTAATGGATACTTCATCCAAAGTCAAAGAATGAGCCATGTAGGTTCACGTCTTCATATAGCCTCTATATAACGGTACCCCCACCCCCCGATATTCGGTATTTTAATGGTTTTAGCGACGTTATTTACAGGGATTGTTTCAAATTTCGTTTGTGAAGTTCGTAATGGATACTTCAGCCCATGCCAGAAAATTGTCTGTGCAGGTCCACGTCTTCGTATAGCCCCCATATAACGGTACCCCCATATTCGATATTTTGACGATTTTAACTACATTATAAACAGATTTTTCTTCAAGTTTCGCATTTAAATATTGTAATAATTTATGACAAAAGTTGCGTATGCAGGCCCACGTTGTCGTATAAGCATTCGGTATTTTTAAGATTTTAACAGAATTTTTAACGGGTTTTATTTTTTGGAAATTGCCAAATTTTTACCAAATGGTGGAGGGTATTAAAAGTTCGGCCCGGCCGAACTTACAGCTTTTTTACTTGTTATTTTTTTACATCTCCACCAAATTTATACTAAATTTTAATTAAATTCGAAAAAAGTGTTTGTTTTATTAAATAATTCGAAGTTTACATACTTGGTTTATAATAGTTTAATAAATATTTTTTTACAATTCGTCTTCATTAAAATTTAAATATTGAATTTTTTTTAATAAAAAGGCTTACCTTATAAAACTGATCGAATGATTAAATAAATAAATAATTATTAATGATAAATACTTAAATACACAGCTGAACTTAATGCTAAATATTTACAAAATATTAAAAAATAAGTTATACCCTGATTAGGGGTTAATGCTCGACTTGCTTCGATTTAGGGCGGTCACGTTACACTGATCTCCTCATCGCTGTCGGAATTCGATTCGTCATAGTCGTCGTAGTACATTTTCATAAATTCTGAATTTTGAAATTGATGCTGTTGCTGTTGTTGTTGCTGCTGCAGTTGCTGATGTTGGTGGTGGGCAAAATGCTGCCCCGCAGTTAGATGTCCAGAAGAAGGCGGTCCATGTTGGTTGTGGGAGGAATGTTGTAGCTGATGTTGCTGCTGCTGCAAGTGATGTTGCATGGCAAAGAATGGATGCCCTGGATGCAGGGTCATGTGGTGAATTGCATCGGGACCAGCACCACCACCTCCACTACTACTGATGCTCAACATGTTCATGCGTCTTTGTTTGGCCTCATTGAGCGTTGATTCCAGTTTCATTTTCAAATCGGCCGCCACCAAATGTTTGTGCATCTCAGCATTGATTTTGGCCTGGAATTCGGCACTGGTCATGGGCATGAGACCGCCGCCGCCACCAGCACCACCACCTCCTCCACCACAACCACTGGGTGGTGATGAGGCATTCGATGTTGAAGTCGATGATTGATCATGTTGGGTGGGTAATTTGGCCACGGTCAGAAGTGGTGGAGGCGATGACAGTTGATGTAGATTTGAACCAAAAGATCCGGCAGATGGTCCAAGACTAGTAAGGGGCTGTGGCAAATTATGCATATTCAAATTACCGGACTGAGATGATGCTGCCGAAGTTGGTGGTGGCGATTGCATGCTATTTGGAGAATTGGCAGGTTTTGGTGTTGAAGCGGTGGATCTTTGTTGTAATTCATCTTTGGAATTGTCGGGTGATTGCAGCGGCGATGACATTATATTGTGTGAATGATCTGGGGACATTTGCAGCGGCGACAAGGGAGTGAGAGGACGATCACACTTGGCATCGGACAAATCGGGATTGGGATTATTTTTATTGGGCAATGTTTGATCGCGTGATCCGCCACTGGCCAAGAGTTCACGTTCCTTGGAGTTGCGCCATTTCATGCGGCGATTTTGAAACCATATTTTAACCTGAAAGAAATGGGAGAAAAAATGGAAGTTAGTCAAAAGGTTTGAAACTTTTAGAGATGTGTCAGTGAAAGTGAAAATATTTTTTTTAGGATTATCTGAGCTATATTCGTAAATTTTTGAAAAAAAATTTTGAATGACTTCATATTTTCTGAATTATGAGTGCTATAGTCGAAGATTTTTTTAAATATTTTTGAAAGACTATCAAGGTAATTTAAAAATATATTTGGAGACAAAAATCGTGCATTTTTTAAAAATATTTTTCAAGGAAAATAATCAAGAATTTTTAAAAATATTTTTGAAGGACAATAATCGTGGATTTTTAAAAATATTTTTGAAGGACAATAATCGTGAATTTTTTTAAAGACCATAACACAGTGTAACACAAACAAATAATTACAGGTAAAATCCAGCAGATTATAATAGAAGAGATAAAAATCAAAGACACGTGTATTCAAATTCTACTATGGGTTCTAGGGACGTCAAAACTCTGTACATTATGGGAATTTATTCAAAAATCTCCAAACAAGGTCAGGTGCGAAAATGGACAATATCGGCCCACTCCATCAAGTACCTCCCCCACAAATGGTCAAAATTTTGAATAATTACAACTCTTATAAAATGTGATGTAAGAGTTCGATTGTCTTCAAATTTCACACATCCTAATGTTTTTATGAACCCAAGATCTGGTGTAAAGACGGAACATATCGGTCTACTCCTTCTGGTACCTTCCTCACAAAAGGTCGAAATTATGAATATACATTAAGCTCATAAAAGGCGAAACTAACACCCAATTCCATTTAGACTTGGCACATCTAAATATTTCTTTCAACACAGGATATGTAATAAGGACGGTAGAGATCGGAGCATTCCTTCTGGTACCTCCCCCACAAAGGATCAAAATTTTGAATAACCAAAACGATCATAAAATCCGAAATAAGTATACGTTTCTCTTTACATTACACACGTCCCATTATTTCCACTAACTCAATGTCTGGTGGCATATATCGGTCCTCTTTTTCTGGTACCTCCCGCACAAAGGGGAGGAGCTCATAAAACGCGGAATTATCATCCGATTCCATTCAGACTTGGCAGATCTCAATATTTCCATCAGCACAAGATATCTTATAAAAATGGTAGAGATCATACCATCTCTTTTGGTACCTCCCTCCATAGGGTTCAATATTTTGATAAACCAAACGCTCGAAGTAAGCCAAATAAACATTCAACCCTCTTCAAATTTCACACATACAAACATTTTTTACCCTCTACCAGAAACTTGGGATGTATATGGATTTTATGATGAAGTTACCGATATAGACCACACCTGGCATGTCGCAATATTTATATCGTATTTATTTAGGTCCGATACGAAATGAACAATATTGGCCCATTCTTTTGGAACCTACTCCACAGAGGGTCAACAATTTGAATAATCATAACAGAAGTCAAAATATATTTAAATAATCGAACATTGGCTAAGGGTATACATTTGTCTTCAAACCGACTGATATTTTCTAACTTGTTTACTGCTATTTTAATACATTTTCAAGCCAAGTCAAAGTCTCCCTTTATAATTCATATTTTGGGAAAAACGCTAAAGGAAGAATTATTCTAGATCGAATTTCATTGTAAGTCTTTGAACGAAAGAAATTTGTATTTTCAAGAGTTACCCTGAAAAATATCATTAATTTCTGTTAATGAAAAACCTTGTTTATTTTGTAGCAATATAATAATTTTCCCAATTCGCTGCAAATCAATAATAAATGTATTATTATTTATCGACGAATGTATGGTCTTTTAAAAGCACAATACTTAAACAACACTAAAAATCCTTAAAAAAATATATAAATAAAACATAAAATCATCTCTAAACCTATTCCTAAAAATTTTACAAAGATGCTCTTGACCACTGCATGATGTTGGTTGGCCACAATCAACCCCATACCTCCAACATCCGCACTCAACTAGGTTTCAATTAAATATTCAAAGAAAACTTTGCCCATTTCAAACCCTTTTTTCGTTGTAAGGCAAACATGTCTGGTCATAACATCACTGCCAGACATCCTTCAATCACTACTCTCCGGCCATGCAGGCAACATCAATGTCCTTCTCAAACTCAATTTAAAATCATTGGTCGTCTTTGTCGGAGAAAGGCAACAGCAACGAGGAAATAAGAAAAACAAGAATAATTTGTTGCAAATTGATTGCAGAGCAGATACAAATTATTATTTGATACAATCGTTCCATAGCATGGCCTTAAAGTTTGTCGACAACAACTACAAGAAAACATTGAGTAGAGAGAGAGAGAGAAAGAAAGAACGGGTGCAAAGGACCTGCCGGCTGAGAAAGAGATAAATTAAAGCCAGCAACTGTGTGTGTGTGTTACACTAAAACTTAAACAACAAGAAAGCCAGAATACCATTTGAGAAAGATACAACGAGGCTGCGAGTGTGTGTGTGTGTGTGTGTGTGTGTGACTGACAGCTACGAGCAAAGGCGGCAACTTTTGGCCGTAACTGTTTTTGAATTATTGTGCATGCACTTTCCAAAGTGTGGAGTTAGGAAGGTGGCCTCACAGTGTGAGAGATATGCTACGGCATGATAAGACTCCAGGAGTAGTGTTGACTTGGGTATAGACGAAGTTAAAAAGGTATTTGGGAAAAGTTATATTATTTTCCAGGCAACATAGTGCGGAAGTCCAGAGATATTATACGAAGTGATGATGGCTTAGGGGGGAACATTATCTGTTTTTGTTGTTATATTTGGTTACTGTTTTGTTGCCTGGCTATCAGTGCCTGTTTCCAGCAGTTTAGAGACGGGTGTTATTTGCAAAGATGGTACACAGCAGGACTTTTAACACTTGAAATTAATTTCTCTGTTTTGATGTGAGTATGATATTCGGGGATAAACTATTCATGGGTTAGTATGAAAATAGGATATTTAAATGCGGATAAGGATAAATTATTCTGTGTATACAAAAATGTTGATGTTGTATGGAGAGTATTGTTAGGGGATTAGAATAAGAAAGCAGAAGAAAGTATAACATATAGAACTAAGTCATGAGATATACAGGGTGAGATAAAAAACTGCAACAAAGTCAAACGCCATAATTTTTACACTTTCTTTTTCTTTAAATTTTATTGAATGAAAGCAAAAATGTCAGAAATAACATCAAATTTTAGAATAAGTTTAGATTTGTTCGAATTGGTCACCTTTGGCACGAATTATGGCCTTCAAACGGCCAATGAAACCGTCACACGCTGCCCGAATGTTGCTCTGCGTTATTTTATCCCATTCCCGGCGAAGCGGTTGCTTGAGGTGATCGACACTTTGATATTTTTTAGTGCCAACCTTGCTTTCCAAAATACTTCAGACTTAATAGCCCAACGGATTGGTATCCGGAGATTTTGGTGGCCATTGTGCGCTGGTAATGAAGCGAGGAACCCTATTTTGTAACCATTCTTGGGTGGCACGTGCTGAGTGCTCAGTCCTATTGGAATATCCAAGGCCTGCGGGTAAAATGTTTGCGTGCCCAAGGCCTTAATACACCCTCCAGAATATTTATACCCTACACCACATAGTGTAAGGGTATTATGTCTTTGTGCATTTGTTTGTAACATGCAGAAGGAAACGAGATAGACCCATAGTTACTTTTGAGAACCTTCATAGAATCACTTTCTGAGTCGATTTATGCATATCAGTCCGTCTGTCCGTCCGTCCGTCCGTCCGTCTGTCCATGTATTCTTGTGAACAAAATGCAGGTCTCATTTATTGTCCGATTGAGATGAAATTTTCCAAACAATATTTTTTTGGCCCAAGGACGAACCCTATTGAAATTGGTGAGAATCGGATCAAATTTAGATATAGCTCCCATATATATCTTCATCCGATTTCGGGTTAAATGTGCACCAAATGTCCACTATCAGTCCAAATTACCTGAATTTTGGCACACCCAACCGAGTTCGGCCTAGAAGCAAGTATATCAAATTTGAAGAAAATCGGTTCAGATATAGCTATAGCTCCCATATATATCTTTCATCCGATTTGGTCTTTAAGTCCCTCACTATATATATATATATATATATATATATATATATATATATATATATATATATATATATATATATATATATATATATATATATATATATATATATATTTCAGGTTAATTGTGCACTAAATGGTCAATATCAGACCAAATCACCTGAATTTTCGTACATAAATGAAATGCCCTCTATAAACCTTTTTACGAGAGCTCTACTAAATATGCGTAGTGGTGTAGGGTATCATATAGTCGGCCCCGCCCGACTTTTTACAAACTGCTGGACAACGAATGTTTTCTCATCGGAGCGGAGAAAACCAAATTCGGCAGTTCACCACTTTCGGCCAAGCGAAGCGACTTTGAAACAATTCCGGAGCATAGTATAGCTGTATGTATGTAATGGATACGAACTTTAAATACGAAATTTAAAACAATTCCTGTGAAAAATGTCGCTTAAATCTTCAAAATACTGAAAATAGGTAGGTACCATTATATGGGTGCTATACCAAAACGTGGACCTATATGGCCCATTTTCAATACCAAAAGTCCTGCAGATATAATATACATTTTAGTAAAGTTTTATCAATCTACTTTATTTCGTTCGGAAGCTAGAGTGATTTTCACAGACGAACGGACAGACAGACGGACGGACGGACATCGCCAAATCGACATAGAATTTTATGCCGACCAAGAGTATATATCCTTTGTGGGGTATAAAATGTATTGTTCGAGGTGTTACAAACGGAATGACAAACTTAATATACCCTCCATACTATGGTGGAAGGTATAAAAATATATATCCGGGTTCCATCAAGTGGAAACGTACGTCTCGATTAAGGATAGATAACGTCGGATTAAGGATATATATGGGATCTATATTCAAAACTTCCGAGCTCATAAGATATCTGATACAAAATATCATTGTTGTCGAATGTATATTACGAATGTGAGGGTTTTTA